TTTAGGTATTTTTGAGTCATGACTTTTTTCTTTTACTTTATTATCATTGTGAACATTAGAATACAAAGAAGTAACATTGGTTATGTTAACATTTTCTACAGGTGTTTGCTTTTCTTCTTTTCCCTCATCACTTTTTTTTGCTTTGATTTCATCTACTGCCTGAGAACCATTATACAGAATATCTCTTGAACTATTTTTATTTGATAATATTAAATTTTGATTTAGATATTGTGGCTGATGTATTGACTGCAATGGCAACTCTGTTGTAAAATTAGTATGATTTACACCATTTCTTCTTAAATTATACAAATAATCATTTTGTTTTTGAAATTTTGACTTTTCCTCAAGATTAGTTGTTAAATATTCTTTTTTCAATAAATCAGTAGTATCAATATGGAATTTGTCGTTTTGTTTCAGAATTTCATTTGCATTAAATTCTTGAATTTCTGCAACATTAGGTGTTTTCCAATGCACTGATTTTGATACTACTTCATGATAAGATGGATCTTGAGATACTGTTGGAATATTTCTATGTGAATTTTTAAGAAATTCATTTTGTTTCAAGTAAGAAACATAACGCTCCTAAAAAAAAAGGGGGGGTTGAAAAAACAATCATTAATGTTTACATATTTTTTTTTGTAAAGAGATTAAGTACAAATTTTCATGTGATGCTTTAACTGTAGGTAATATTTTAAAAAATTTATAATTTTTCTTAAATGAATAAGTGCTAACTATGAAATTCAATCATGTGCTACAAGTCGAATATTATGAATGACACTTAAAAAGAAATCAATTATTTAATTTTTTTTTTTTTTTTCAGGTTTTAAAATTAATGAATTAACTTGTGTTGAGTATTAAATTTGAAAAATAAAAGTGCAGTGCATTACTATGCTTGAATTTAAAAATAAAAATGAAATAAGAACTCACTTTATACAGTTTTAATGTTTCTGTTTTAGCAAAAATTGCTTTAGCTTTGTCTTCAACTCTATTAAGAGACCTAAGAATTATTTCATTTCTTTTTCTCCTAATATTACAATCTTCGATGAATTTTTCATATTTACTGTATAAATTAGTATAATGTATTTTTTGTCTGCGAATGAAATATTTATAAATATCGAAAAGAAATTAAAATTTATAATCTTTACTTATTTATAATTTCTTAAACATAAAAATTTTTTTGCATCAAAATTGTATTTCATATGCTTTTTTTAATATTAAAATTATCTGTTTTAACCAATAATATGTTTTGGCATTTGAAATATTAAAATTATTCGATAAATTATTGAATTTACAAAAAGCGGTTTAATAAAACTTATAAAAATTTATCTTTGATTTTTTTTTTTTTTATCCCAATACTTGATTTGACATCACATATTGTTTAATTTAATGTTATTTTAAAGTAACAAAAATGTATATTTCCTCATGTACTCATTACCTTACAGTAAATTTAATTGTTATCTTTATCATAATTTTTTACTTATATTTAATAAGAAGTTAACCTGTATTGATATTTTCATTTAATGTCATGAGAGCATTTTATTACTCTTTTATGGGCAATTAATTTATCCCTATTTGTATTAAGTATATTGCTATGAAATCACTTTTACATTTTTATTATTGAAAATATACATAATTTTTAACTTAATTTATTTTAAACTGATAATTCAAAGTTATCACGTTATACTTACTTTTCTCTAAATGCATTAATTAAAATTTCACAAGTTTTTTCTAGTTTTTTTCTTTCTTTTTCACTGAAAAAAAAATAAAAAATAAAAAAAAAATACAATTAATTAATTTATTTCATGGGAATTCATACAAAAAAAAAAAAAAAAAAAAAATGGATTGGTTACTAACCTATTTCGTAGCTTTTCTTGTAATTCTATCATACGTAAATGTATTTCATCTTTTGAACAATTCATTTTAATTTATTATACAATATTTACAAAAATCGAAATGATTTTTTATTAATTAATTTTTTTTTTTTTTTGTTGTGAACTTCGTTAAAATGACGTCATAACTATATGACGAAATTATTTTTATCTATTATATATTAATAAGACCATCATTAAACATGGTGCTCTTTTTCAACGTGTTCTACAAAAGTTGCACTTAATTTTATTATGAAGTTTTGTATGATTTAAAATATAATTTTTTTTGTAATCAGTTATAAAAATTTATCGATGGATTTAGTAGTTGATGTAGGAACCAAAATTTTTTATATAAAAATTGTAATTAGACTTATTTTTATGTAATTAATTATAACATTTGTTTTGTAGTTACCTTTTGGAGTTCCTCCAATATTACCCGATGTTGGAAAACAGTTACAAGAATATATTTTATGTCCTGATAAATTACCCATTCACAATTTTGAAACATCTCAGCAACATTGGGATGAAGAACCTGATACCTCTGCTCTGTACTTAAGTGATTTATCTGAAAATAGCACTATTTTAAAACTTGACCGAGATTTAAGAAGCGGTGAATTAAGATCTTTTACAGAAGTTCTCTGTAATGGAGATTCTTTACCTACGATAAATAAAGAAGAACAATCCAAAACTATAGATGATATTATAGAAGTTTTAGAAAATGTTGGTGACGTTATAGAAACTGAAGGTAGAATTCAATGCGATAAAAAATAGTATATATTTCTTACCCGGAGATATTAATTTTTTTTTAATTTTAAAAAATTTTTTTTAAAAGAAATTTTAACGACACCACCATGGTTTGCCAGAGGTTACAATTTTGGCATAAACAACCAATTCATAGAAAATGAAAAGTCAGTTAAACAAAATGAAACAAGTGATTCTAACTTCATTAATTTAGTCGACTTATTAAAGGGTGGTCAACATTTATTAGAAGTAACCAATAGTTCTTTTGAACTTGAAAACGAAGAAGATAAACATGAAAATAAAAATGATACGGAAGAAATATCAGTTGAAGAATCAGATGTGATAAGCAGTATTCCAAATGTATGTTTTTTTGATAACATTTTAAAATTCATATATATATTCATATGTATGTATGAGTCTGCCATTTTCTATAACAAAAATTTTTAATGTTTAATACTTTTGTCTTTTTTTTAATGTAGGAAGTAGCATTCAAAGCTCCAGTTATAAGATTGTCAGATGTTACCCCATTAAAAGGGGTAACTTCTACAGAATGGGCAGAGGTAATTGATGTTAGCCTACCTGTCACAGATTTTTATGAAAAAATCCCAGATATGGCCTTTAAATACAATTTCGAACTTGATACATTTCAGAAACAGGTATGAGCATTATTATTGTTCTTTTCAAAAAATATATATAAATATATTTGATTGCTTTTATTTCTCCATGTGTTTTTAATTTTTCAGGCTATCTTAAAATTAGAAGAGCATTGTAGTGTTTTGGTAGCTGCTCATACTTCAGCTGGTAAAACAGTCATTGCAGAATATGCCATTGCATTATCTCAGCGTCATATGACCCGTACCATTTACACTTCCCCAATTAAGGCTTTATCAAATCAAAAATATAGAGATTTTAGAAATACTTTTAAAGATGTAGGACTCATTACAGGAGATTTTCAAGTAAATCAGACAGGAACATGTCTTATAATGACTACAGAAATTTTAAAATCCATGTTATTAGCACAAAATGATATCATTAGAGATTTGGAATATGTAATTTTTGATGAAGTACATTACATAAATGATTTTAAAGTAAGTTGATTTAACTTTTTTTTAAAAATGGATGTTTGAACAATTGTATTCATGAACTTAATGACAACATAATTTCAGAGAGGACATGTGTGGGAGGAAGTTGTCATTTTACTTCCGTCGCATGTGAGCATTGTAATGCTTAGTGCAACAGTTCCAAACACTTTGCAATTTGCCGATTGGGTAGGAAGAACTAAACAACAAAAAATGTATGTTATTAGTACTACTCAAAGGCCTGTTCCTTTAGAACATTTTCTATACACTGGATCTGGAGGAAATAGTAAAGATGAAAGATTTTTAATTTTATCAGCTACAAATGAATTTCAAAAAAAAGGGTAAATAACTAAAAAATACTTAAATTATAATTAACAACAAATTTCTTATTAAAAAATATCTTCAGATATTTAGAAGCTGTTGAAGCCAAAAAAAAAAGAGAAAGTAAACAAAAAAATGTTGTAAAAGAAAGACCACAAACAGGAAGAAAACAAGACACAACTATGTGGGTAGCATTAATAGAACACTTACAAAAACATGATAAGTTGCCTATAGTGGCATTTATTCTTTCTCAAAAGAGATGTGATGAAAATGCTAGTAGCTTAATGTCAGTGGATTTAACTACAGCCAAAGAAAAATCACATGTACGACATTTTTTTCAACAGAGTATTCAAAAATTGAAGGAGCCTGATCAAACTTTGCCTCAAGTAAATACCTTTTTCTATCAATCTATTTTTTTTTATATTAACAACTTTATGAAAATCACAGTTTTATTTGAAGGTCTTTGTTATAAAAAAAAAAAATTAATAAAATTTTTATTATGTTTCAGATACTCAAAATGCAAAAACTACTTGAAAATGGAATTGGAATTCACCACAAAGGCATATTACCTATTCTAAAAGAAATAGTTGAAATGCTTTTTCAAGAACGATGCGTAAAAATTCTGTTTGCTACTGAAACATTTGCAATGGGAGTAAATATGCCAGCTAAAACGGTTGTTTTCGATTCGATACATAAATACGACGGATCTGAAAAAAGAATGCTTTTGCCATCCGAATATATTCAAATGGCTGGAAGAGCAGGCAGAAGAGGGCTCGATAAAACAGGAACCGTTATTATAATTTGTAGAGAGGACATGCCAACTGAAAATAATTTAATACAATTAATGAAAGGTAAAATTTATAAAAATTAACAATTTTGTGAAATAATTTAATTATAAACATTTTTTTTTTTTTCCCCCCTAGGTATACCAAAAAAAATTGAATCACAATTTCGTTTAACCTATTCTGTAATTTTAAAACTTGAGAGGAAAAAAATCGTGGCAGAAGGAAGAGTAACCGTGGAAGAAATGATGGCAAACAGTTTTAAAGAAGCCGATCATATAATAAAAAAGAAAACGTACACGCAATCTTTGGAACAAGTAGAAAATAATTTATCAAGTTTAGAAAAAACAATTGAAAAGAATAATGTATGGGAAGAAGTCCGAGACAGTTGTTCCATACTCTTAGACTATATAAAAAATTGGGCAGTTTTGAGTTCAAAAATTTTTACCGATAAGAAAGGATTAAAACTTGTAACTCCCGGTCGTGTTGTTTTACTTACTCATAAATCTCACATAAATAAATTAGGAATTATATTGTCTTGCGAATATAAAAAAAATGTTAAATTTAAAGTTTTAGTACTGGATAATAAAATTGACAAATCAAAAGACAACGTAAATACTTAAAGTTTTTTTTCTTTGATCTTATGTACGGTTCTGTCGAAAATAGTTTGTTGATAATTTAATTTTTTTTTTGTATTCAGTCAGAGACTGATAAAGACTTTAAATCAATTGAGAATGAATGGTATAAACTAATTGGCTTATTAAATTTAAATAAAATATTTGTACCCGACGATTTGGGCGTTCATACTGTCATAACTATTGACGCTTCGGATATTTTCGAAGTAACAACTATTCTATTGAAAATAGACTCTAAAATAATTTTATCAGATTGGGATAATAGGCAAATCCCTAGATTTCGGTAATTCACTTAAATCATTAATATTGAATTAATTAAATATCTTTTTAATTATTATTATTATTATTATTTTCTTTTATTCGCAGAGATAATCCACCTGGGCAAACATTTCAAAGAGTTTTGGAAGAATTAACGGAAATAACTCACACTTATGCTAATTCGGAAGAGAAAATTGAATATTTAAATTTATTAAAAGATTTTAAAATAAGTAGCAAAGAAGATTTTAAAAATTTCCACGAGTTGGTCAAATTAAAAACAAAAGTTTGCGAAAGTAATACTTTAACTGATCATGAGCAATTGAAAAAATTTTTCAAACTTTTATGTTTGGAAAAAAAGAAAGAAAATTTAAAATTTTTGCTGTCGTATCAAAGTATGTCTTTGTATTCCGATTACAAAAGCAGATTAGCCGTTTTAAAAATGTTGAATTATCTTGACAGTAAAAATTCAGGTGATTACAATTATGCTATTGTGTACTTTTACAATTTGTTTCTTTTAACTTATTTTATTATTTTAAAAAAATTATTAAATATTTTTTTTTTTTTTTTTTGCACAGTTCAAATGAAAGGGAATGTTGCTTGCGAAATGAGCAGTCAAGAACTTCTCATTACAGAATTAGTATTTAGAAATGCTTTGAACGATTTGCAACCACCGGAAATAGCGGCATTATTATCTTGTTTCGTTTATCAAGGGAAAAAAAAAAATGAACCACTTCAACTAACGGCTACCCTAGAAGCAGTAAGGAAAAATTTGTCAAAAAAAAATTTTTGTTTGCACTTTGAAAGATAAATTTTTTTTTTTTTTTCTCTCTCGAAAGGGAATTGCAAGAATAAAAAAAATAGCCAAAGATGTTTTTGAAGCAGAAGAGATATGTGGTGTAAATCAGGCAGAAGCAACGGGAAATGAAGAAAACATGAATTTCGATTTAGTTCCAGTAGTTTATGAATGGGCTAGAGAAAAGGTTTAAATATTTAAATATTAAAATTTTATGAGAGAGAAAAAAAAAAAAAAAAGTTTATATTTTAACAAATTATTTTTTTTAAAAAAAAAAATATATATATATATATATAATTTCAGCCTTTTGCACAAATTATGACATTAACTGATGTCCAAGAAGGTATTATAGTTCGTTGTATACAACAGTTAAATGAAACAATCAAAGAAGTGAAAAATGCAGCGAAAATTATTGGAGAACCCACATTACAACAAAAAATGGAAGATGCATCCAATGCAATAAAAAGAGACATTGTTTTTGCAGCTAGCCTTTACATGCAGTAACATTATTTTATAACAAAAAATTTTTAATTTATTATTTAAAGGTTTTATTTAGAATAATTTAATATTTTTATATATATGTATTATCGATTAATATTACCTTTATTTTTCTATTGAGTAATCTATGGTAAAAAGCATTAGTTTAAAAAAATTTAATATAATTTATTATGTATTATTGCAATAGGTATTTGGTTACAAAAAAGAAAAAAAAAAACTAAATATTATTTCATAATTTAAATAATTTCTTAATCCTTACAGTATAATATTGAACTTCAGAAGTTATTTTTCACTTTATAATAATGGTTTCTGCTTAAATAAATGTATTGGAAATATTTACAACAGTAATAAAACTTTTAAATTTGATTTAAAAAAAATGAACTACTACACAGCTCTCTGATCATTACTTGATACTGTGCCCTGACCTTTATTAACCTCACTAATACACATCCACTGTCCTTCATTATTTTCTCTCCATAATGAAACTTTATTATCTCCACCAGAAACGGATAAAATATTGCCAGTGAGAGACCAACTAACATTCCAAACTACATCATCAAATGTATTTAGTACAGTAGGAGTCCAATTAATATTATCATCACTAGACCATATAATAACTCTTCTGTCTTGTGAACAAGATGCAATGAGAGATTTTGGTAAACCTAAAGAAGGAGCCCAAGCTACATCTCTGACCCAATCTGAATGCACTTCAAGTTTTGCTTCTTCAATCCATCTGTCAAAAAAAAAAAAAAAGTGGTTTAATAATACCAGTTTCATAATTTGATATTAATTACTTATTATGAATAAAAATCTAACCTATCACCATCTTCTTTCCAAATTTTCACTGCATTATCACATCCACCACTAACTAATCTCTTTACCGGAGGACCTGCTCGAGCATTTACATCAAAAACTGGATTCACTACAGTTGCAGGACACCAACTGACAGCATTGCATCCAATTGTATGGGCATTAGTAATTTTTTTAGCATCCCAAGTAGAACCATCTCCTGATCCTGTCAAAATTGAAATAGATCCATCACTACTACCACATGCCAAAATTAAACCAAATTCATAAGGAGCCCATTGAACTGAATTTACAGATGAATCATGACCAGGGTATTCATATAATTTCTTCCATTCTCCCATATCTTTCCAAATTATAACTTTCCTGTCATAAGAACAAGATGCTAATAAATTTCCAAATTTTGGATGTGCCCAACTAATTTGCCACACTGGGCCATAATGCCCCTTCAGATCTGCCAGTAAAGTTTGTGCACCATTTTTAACGTCATATATTTTAACTGAATGATCTGAAGAACAAGTAGCCAAACGAAGACCATAATAGTCAAGTTCGGCATCATGGATCATATCTTCATGACCAGTATCAAAAGTATTTATTGCTGTAACCATTTTAATATTTTTTATAAACTTAAAAAAATACACAGTAACAACAAAGTAGTAATGACGTGTCAATAAAAAGATTTTGCCAACCTTTCCAATTAGTCCAACTTTTTGGCGGTTCTTTACGTCAGTGTTCTTAATTAATCTCATAATTTATTTTATTTTATTTTATTATTTTAAATTTTATTGTTGACTTTAAAGTTATGTGTTGTATTAACTGAGAAATATGTACGCTAATCGAAATGTGGGATTTAGTAACGAAGCAGGGTATAATTTTTAATAATCATTTTAAATAACAAAAAAATTTTAATTTTTCGTAAATTATTACACCATTATTAATATTTCTAGAGAGGAATCTTCAGAAAAAAGAATAAAAAAATGCATTGAAAATGATTTCGTCGATTCAAAATTCGGATTTGATCGTATTAAAAATCCTACAGAAAGAGTGGGCTTTCTTATTAATATGCATGTGGTAAAAAAATTAATTATCTTTTGATGCATATATATTGCATGTTATATCTAATTATTAATTGACATTTCAAATTTTAAAACTTATTATAATTTAGTTGTCTTACTGAGAGTCTAATTTATTTCGATATTCATTATTCTATGATTAAAACTAAAAATTTCTTTTTCAGACAGAAATTATTGATGAAGACAAAAAACTTAAAAGTGCAGTCGATTATTATTTTATTGAAGAAGATGGCTCTAGGTTCAAAGCAACTTTATGCTTTCAACCATACTTTTATGTTTTACCTAAAAAAGGTACTCTTCTTGAAGTATCTCTTTACTTAAAGAAGAAGTATATTGGAATTATTGACAGAATTGATATTGTATCTAAAGAGGATTTGGATTTGGTAATTTTTTTTTTTTTTTTTTTATAACAAGAAATGATCAAATTTATACTAATAATAACAGTCTGATTAATTATTTTTTTAGCCCAATCATCTTACAGGTTTAAAACAAAAATTTTTGAAACTCAGCTTTTATTCAATAAATGAATTATTATCAGTTCGAAAAGATATAATGGCTGCTGTTAAAAAATCTAAAGAAATTTCTAAAGTTAACAATTACTATTCAGAGCTCCTAAAAAACTTAAATTCTAATTATGAAAATGATGTTCAGCAAAAAAAAATTGTAGACCATTTGGAAAATATTATCGATGTTAGGTAAAAATTAAATGTAATTTCATTTAAATTTAAAAATATTTACATTATACAAATGTATTTTTTTGCTTTTTAGGGAGTATGATATTCCTTACCACATAAGAGTTTCAATAGACAATAAGATTTTTGTAGGATCTTGGTACAATGTTAAAATAAGAGGAATAGGAATTCAACCTGACATAATAAAAAACTTGGAACTTTTAGAAATTCCTGATATTATAGTTCTGGCTTTTGATATTGAATGTACAAAACAGCCCCTTAAATTTCCATCCTCTGATACTGATCAGATTATTATGATATCATACATGATAGATGGTCAAGGGTAATTTTTCTTTTTAAATTAGTTCTTATTGTTTTTTATAATAAAATTTATATAGATTTTTTATTTCAGGTATCTAATCAACAATAGGGAAATTATATCAAAAGATGTCGACGATTTTGAATATACTCCCAAACCAGAGTTTGAAGGTTATTTTACTGTATATAATGAACCAAATGAAAAATCAGTTTTACAACGATTTTTTGACCACATTTCTGACGTTAAACCGCATATTATGGTTACTTACAACGGAGACTTTTTCGATTGGCCATTTATAGAAAATAGAGCAACTATTAATGGATTAAATATGCAGTATGAAATTGGGTTTAGCGCGAAAAATGGCGTCTACTTCTGCCGGTCTATAATTCATATGGATTGCCTATGGTATGTAAAATTTTTATATAACATTACCTAAAAGTATATTTTACATATTGTATATTAAAAATAAAAGTTTAGTTATATTTTTTTAAGGATTTTGAAAATATTTGATTCTTTTGTATTTATTATTACTAATATGTATTTTAATTTATTTATGAAAACCATAACAATGAGAATTTAGCAGGAATTTTTGTACTAAGTATTTCATCGTTAAAATTTTTTTTTAAGTTGGGTTAAAAGGGATTCCTATCTTCCTGTTGGATCTCATAATTTAAAAGCTGTTGCAAAATCTAAACTCAGGTACGATCCTGTTGAATTAGATCCCGAAGATATGTGTCGTTTAGCTGCTGAAGAACCTCAGGTATTTGTTAGTTTTTTAATTTTTTTTTCTTTTTCAAGCACTTTTCGATAAATTTTAAAAAACTTTAGGTACTTTCAAATTATTCAGTTTCTGACGCCGTTGCTACATATTATTTGTATATGAAATACGTTCATCCTTTTATTTTTGCCTTATGCACAATAATTCCTATGGAACCGGATGAAGTTTTGAGAAAAGGATCCGGAACTCTTTGTGAAACTTTGTTGATGGTTGAAGCTTTTCACGCAAATATAATTTTTCCTAATAAAGAAGAGGAAGTATTTAATAAACTTACAACTGATGGTCACGTGCTTGATACAGAAACTTATGTTGGAGGTCACGTTGAAGCTCTGGAATCAGGTGTTTTTCGAGCAGACATACCATGCAGATTTCGATTGGTATGTAAAACACATGAGATATGAATTTTAAGTTTTGAAAATTAAGTATAATTTAAGTACAAATTTTGAATGGTTAAGATTCCAGATGCGTTTGAAATGTTAATTAAAGAATTGAGGCAAACTGTAGAACACGCCATTGAAAAAGAAGAAAAGATTCCTTTGGAAAACGTTTTGAATTTAAATGAAGTTATTAAAGAAATCGAAATCAAACTTATAGATTTGAAAAATAATCCTGTTAGAAATGAAAATCCAGTGATTTATCATTTGGATGTCGGAGCCATGTATCCCAATATTATTTTGACAGATAGGTTACAACCTTACGCTATTGTAAATGAAGAAGACTGTGCCGCTTGTGAATTTAATACACCGGGTGCTTTGTGCCAGAAAAAAATGAAATGGATGTGGCGTGGAGAAATGAGTAAATAATTTTTGCACAATAATAATTTTAAGCGATAAATTAATGCAAAAAAATTAAGAAATTATTTTATATATATAATTTAGTGCCGGCATCTCGAAGTGAATTTCAAAGAATACAGCAGCAATTAGAAATCGAAAAATTTCCTCCTCTACTTCCCGACAATCCGCAAAGAGCTTTTCATCAATTATCAAAACAAGAGCAGGCTTCTTATGAAAAAAAAAGGCTTACGGATTATTGTCGGAAAGCTTATAAAAAAGTACACATTACTCGGACGGAAGAGAGAGAAACTACTATTTGTCAAAAAGAAAATTCATTTTATGTTGATACCGTTCGAGCTTTTCGTGATCGGAGATACGAATATAAAAAATTATGCAAAAATGCTAAACAACAAGTTAATGAAGCACTTTCAAGAGGTGATGCTAGTGAAATTAAATCAGCCAAAAACTTAGAAATCCTTTATGACTCCTTGCAGTTAGCTCACAAATGCATTTTAAATTCTTTTTATGGCTACGTCATGAGAAAAGGGTTTGTAAAATTAATTTATTTACTTTCCAAATGTGTATATCAGTATTAATTTTTTTTGTTAACGCGTCAAATTAAAAACGATAAAAATTATACTCAGAAATCTCAACATCCAGTATTGTAATACAATTTGAAAGTTTTGAAAAAAAAATTTTTTAGTGCAAGATGGCACAGTATGCAAATGGCTGGAGTTGTCTGTCACAAAGGCGCATCTATAATTACAAAAGCTAGAGAAATAATAGAAAAAGTTGGGCGACCATTGGAACTTGATACGGACGGTATTTGGTGTATTTTGCCCTCATCATTCCCTGAAAATTTTCAAATCATTACGACAAACACAAACAAGAAAAAAGTTAATATTTCTTATCCGAATGCAGTATTAAATCGCATGGTTAAGGTATTGATTAAAATAAATCAGTAATTTTTATAAAGTTTTCAATAATGTTTATAAATAATGTATAATGTTTATATAAAAGATTTTTGTCTTTAGGATCAATTTACGAATCATGTTTATTATGATCTTGTTGACTCGCAAAATTTAATTTATGAGCAAAAAAGCGAAAATTCAATTTTTTTCGAAGTTGATGGACCTTATTTAGCAATGATACTTCCGGCTTCTAAAGAAGAGGGGAAGAAATTGAAAAAAAGATACGCAGTTTTTAATTTTGATAAATCTTTAGCAGAACTAAAAGGGTAAGTAAATAGTCTAGAAGTTAGCTCGTTTTTTTAAATGTATTTTTAATATTTTTCAACTTGTACATTAGATTTGAAGTAAAACGCCGAGGTGAACTTCAATTAATTAAAATTTTTCAATCGTCAGTATTTGATGCTTTCTTAAAAGGAGACAGTTTAGAAAATTGTTATGCTGCCGTAGCCAAAATTGCCGATTATTGGTTAGATATTTTATATTCAAAGGTATTTTTAAAAAAAAATTTACAATGTATTCTTAAGTATTTGAACGTGTGAAATAAATCTTTGGCGTTTCATTTAAGGCTGATAGTTTACCAGATTCAGAATTATTTGAATTGATATCTGAAAATCGTTCAATGTCGAAAAAATTGGAAGATTATGGAGCACAAAAATCTACTTCGATTTCTACAGCGCGAAGATTGGCCGAATTTTTAGGTGATCAAATGGTAAAAGATAAAGGATTATCATGTCGTTATATTATATCGAAAAAACCCGAAGGATCACCTGTTACCGAAAGGTACTACTTATTTACCCATTTATACATTAGTAAAATACTTAATAAATTTTTAACTTATTTTAGAGCTATTCCTCTGGCAATATTTCAATCTGAACCAAGTGTTAAAAAGCATTACCTGAGAAAGTGGTTAAAGGATAATTCATTGACGGATGTAGATATCAGGCAAATTTTAGATTGGAATTATTATATTGAAAGATTAAACGGAGCAATTCAAAAAATCATAACCATACCTGCAGCCATGCAAGGAGTAAGAATTTTAAAATAATTCAACTTTTATTTGACACTTAATTCCAAATACAAAAATTTATTTTCTTAGGTTAGTAATCCGGTTCCAAGAGTTAAACATCCAGATTGGTTACACAAGAAAATATTGGAAAAAACAGATGTTTTAAAACAGAGGAAAGTCAATGAGTTTTTTAATGCAGTGCCAAAACAAAGGGTAAATAATAATTTATAAATTAATTCACTTAAATAATTATTACTCACAACGAATTAATTTTTGATAATTTAGATGGAAAACACAATGACTGATATTGAGGATGTAGGAAAACAACAACAACGTAAACTTCCAAAATTAATTCACACTCATTCCATTTCCCGTAAAAGGAAAAGAGTTATTTCGAATTCGTTCAGTGAAGAGGATTTGTCACGTCATTGGAAAGAAGTTTTGGGTCCTTCGCCTCCAATTGGAAAAACTAGAGTATTTATTAAATATTAAGTCATTCAAAAAAATGAAAACAAAATTATGACGGTTGGTAAATTTATTATTTTTAGGATGAAATAGTCAAATGGCTTTGTTTTCACAAACGAAAATGGGAATTGCAACGATGTCAACGGAAATTAATGTTGGATGATGGTCCTTATAAACGAAGTAAAATAACCGGAGAATCTTTTATTTCAGGAGTTCAAAGGCGAACTCATACAGTAGACGGTTTTATAAAAAAAATTCAACAAAATATTTTGGAAAATACTTGGCAAGTCATACAAGTAAGTTTTTTTACTCATCATTGCTTTAAAATAAAATCCTGATAAATATTATTTTAATACATCTTGTTAATTTTTTAGTATGTGAAAACAAACGAACCGGGAGTATTTAAAGCTTGGGCCATTGTTGGTAAAGATTTACATCAGATAAAAATAAAAGTTCCTAGAATATTTTACGTTAATCAGAGATCCCTAAAAAATGAAAATGTCAAAAATGTAGTCTGGAAAAAAGTTAATAAAATTTTACCAAGATCAAAACCAGTCTATCATTTATACGAATATTCTGTACCTGAGCAAGAATTTCAGGCACACAGTCAGTAAGTCTTATTTTAATTTTATTGCCGCATTTTTAAAATTTAAAAAGTTGAAGGAATCAACAATGTCTGCAATGAATTTTTTCTATTTTTTTTTTTTTTTTTTAAGGGACTTATTAAAAAGTATTTTAACTCCGGATGTGGAAGGCATATACGAAACTAAAGTTCCTCCAGAATTTAGACTTATCGTTGAATTGGGTTGTATAATTTCAGTTGATAGAGCAGAAGTTAGAAAAATTATTAATAGAGAAGTTAAGGATTACGATAATTTTTCCATGAAACAATTAAACTTTGTAGCCATGGATTGTGCACCGTATTTAAATAAGGTATTTTAAGTAAGATTTTACAAAAATCAATTTGTTCCAGGAAGATTTAATATTGTAATTTTTTTGTAGTTGGAAAATGGTAATTTACCCTTTAAAATTATTTTTATTTATCAAAACTCTGCTAAAAATTCACAAAAATCAATATTTGGAGTTTTTTTATTGAATTCAAAACGTACGTTCGTTTACGTTCAGGACACGATAAAAAATAATCAAGTACCTAATTTAAAAAATGTATATAACAAGGAGAGAAATAATAGGTAAGTACCTTAAATTTAATTTCATACTAAATTATTTGTGAAACGTGCTACCCGTAAATGATTAGTCATAAAAAATTTGAATTACATTTCAATCAAGTTTTTAAAAGACGCTTTTCTTTTATTTTCTCATTGTCTTCTTTTGATTTTTACCACTAATGTAAAATTTTGTCTTTTGTAAAATTCATCGTTTTTATGGCTGACAAATTATTTATGTAGGATATCGAATGGAAGTAACGAATTAGAACTTCCTCCGGATGATTTTACTTTTGAAGTACACGCAGAAACCGAATCGAAAAATATTTATAAATCTATTCATAACGTTTTAAATTCCTATAAAAAAGAAGGACAAGGAGCAACCGTCATCTTACTTCAATCATACTTGGGTAATTTAATTTTTATTAGTTGTTTATTTATTTTGTCATTTTAAATTTCGTAAAATTTATTTTATTTGTAGATTTTAATATTTTAAGCGCGTCTATACCAAGTTTATTAGAATTTCCAGTAATAACATTTCACACGAAAGATCCGGATAATCTTTACGCAACTCTGGAATGGCAAAAATTGGGTACAAGAATTATGATTCATCATTTTTTAAACTCCATAACGACTTTAAATTCTGTATTATATCAGTCGAAATTTTTCCATGCTCCACCGGGTAATATTTCATTAATAAAAAAAACGATTTTTAAAATGAAAATTTTTTACTTTATGATTGAAACTAATTTTTTTTAATCCAGGTAATATTCCAGCGGACGCTACACTGTTCGGCACGGATTTATTTTATGCGAGGCATTTATTAAAAAATAATTTCGTTTTATGGTGTTCTGATAACGAATTGCCCGATTTTGGTGGGACCGAAGCTGATGACAGTCGTTTGTTAGGAGAATTCGATGAATTATCTACCACGGTTATAAATAAAGAAGGTTGTTACACGTCCATATCTGTAGAAATGGATATTGATGCCTTGGCAGTAAATACTTTACTTCAGCTTAATCGTATGAATGAAGCAGAAGGTATTTTATTTAAATAACTTTCTTAGGAGAACTAGTTAGTTGGCCTTTTTTTTTTTATTATAAAATTTTATTTCAGGAATCAGTTCGAGTTTGGCATTTGATTCAGCTCCACAGGTTGTAATGGAAGACCTCTTATCAGGTTCAAATAATCATTGTGTCACCTACGACGAATCAGCTGTTTGTAGTTCGGCTTTTAGAATTCTACGAATCTTAGCTGGAATTTTAATTCGCGAAGTATCATTATTTAAAAATATTCTTGCCGATTATCAAATATCTCACTTTTACAGGTTTGTGTTACATTTTTTTTTTGTAACTAACAATATCGATAAATAATTCTTAATTTTAGCATCATCTTTTACACGAATAAAATTCACTCATTTATTATTTTGCAGGTGGTTGAGATCTTCAAACGCTTTACTCTACGATCCATCAATGAGAAAAATAATACATAATTTAATGAAAAAATTTTTAATTCAACTTCTTTCGGAATTCAAAAGACTCGGAGCCATTGTTATTTTTGCAAATTTTAATAAAATAATAATAAATACGAAAAAAAATAATTTTTCGGATGCCATAGGTTATATAGATTTCATCGAGAAAAATATTAAACAAAAAGAACTTTTTCACGGCGTACAATTAAAAGCGAGCCAATATTGGCATTTACTTTTATGGCTGGATAACGTATTAAATATATATATATATTACTTTAACGATTATTATTAAATTAATTTTAATTTGAATTTTTTTTAAATTAAATTTTCAGAGTAATTTTTGTGGAGTTCAAGCTAACATTTTGTCAAAACCCAATGATCAAAATGGCGATTCAGAAAAAAATGATTTGGAAAATGGAATTTCACACGAGGATAGTGAGGATTTAATTGAGACAAGGGAAAAGGAAACAAACGAAGAAGTTAGTTTTGTTTCAAAAATAAATAATAATAATAATAATAATAAGTATTAATAGTTTAAATTTTTTTTTTTTTTTTTTTACAGTGTCCAATCGTCTTGAATTGGAATTTATCTGATTTTTTATTGCCAGACATTAAGGAAACTTTTGATGAAGTTATCGCCACTTACACTAACTTATTGTGGTCTTATATTAAGACAGAAATCATATCGAAACCTTTAGTTGTGGAAAATGACGATGATCAATGTCGGGCCGACGTCGTTTTATCCGATACAAATAAATCTATCGAGTGTTTTGCTAAAGAACTAATATCGAACAAAATGTCTCTTGAATTATTCGGGTAAGAAATGAATGGTTATGATATAATTTTACATGAATATCTCGAAATTATAAAATGTCCGTTTTTTTCCCGTTTCAGATTAATTGAAAAAATGAACAAAGCTTATCCGGGAACCCGTGGAAATAAAAAAACGACGAAATTTCAATTTCCAACATTGGATTTTGTTAAATCTATCAGTAAAGTTTTATCCCTGAACATAACCACCGAAAAAGAAGTTGAAACTCTTAATAGAAACATGTTGAGATTAATCGGAGTTCGCGAATTCGATGATGAAGCAGTTTGGGTAGATCCGTGCAAAACTGTCATCCTCACCGAAGTAGTTTGTAAAATATGCAGTCATTCAAGGGACATAGATCTGTGCAAAGACGTACATATTTCTACGATAAATGAAATGTGAGTTGATTTAAGAAAATTCTAGAAAACTTTCAGACAGTCTCATTGTAAACGCAAAAATTTTTTTAGAACAATGTTGATGTGTCCAGTTTGTCACAGAGCATATAATAAAGATGAATTAGAATATTTACTATTAGATGTTGTGCAGAAAAATGCTATGGCTTACACGATTCAAGATTTACAATGTGGCAAATGTTCAGAGGTAATAATAATAATAATTTTAAAAAACTTTGAATGTAATAAATTTACAGAGTTTTACAATGCAAAGTATTTGTATTTCAGATAGCAGCAGATAATCTGCACGAGTTTTGCACGTGTACTGGAAATTATCATCCTTTACTACAATCTAATAATATAATAACACAATTAAAAACTCTTAAAAATGTTGCCATTAATTTTTCAATGCCGATTTTGTTAGATTGCATAAATTGGATGTTAGATTTGCAACACTGAAGTTGTACTTTTTAAACTTATTATTAATAGTAGGTATAAATATTATTTAAATTTTTTAAATCTTTTTTTATTCTGTGTGTATAATATCATAAATGTTACTCGGCTGTTAATGACTGACATCGAGTATTTTTTAAATAAATAATTATAAATATTTGTAGTAATCGAAACAAATCGTCTTTTTGTTTTTCGAAAGGAAAAATGAATTTATTTAAAAAAAAAAAGGGGGGGGGTAGAATAATAAAATTTTTTTACAATAAGGAATTATATTTTATTATTATTATTATTCACCTACTGAAATGTACTTTATACAAACAGAATGAAAAATGATATTCGATTGTTTTCATTTCTGTAACAGATACTATTAATTTACCTTAATGATTTTTTAAAAAAAAAACAGATAATTTATTACTTTGAAGTTATATCATATGGTTGAAGAGGTGGATCGGTAAATTTAAAATTTGGAAATTGTTTCGCTTCCTCGGCTGATTTCATTCCAAATTGTTTCATTAGTCTATCTCTGTCCGATTGCAATTCTTTTTGCAATTCAGGTGAAGGATCGACTAGTTGTCCACTTCTGAAAAATGGTATTTTTTAAATTTAATTTAATTTTAATTCAATAATCAATTTTATTTTATTCAATTTGATTTTACTCACGAGCTTTTTGCTTTGAATTCTCTTATTTTATCGACAAATAATTGTTGTATGGGATCATTTGCTTTCTGAAGAAAGGGAACAAATATTCCCAAATCTCTTTTGCATAAATAATAACTTTTTCTTACCAATCTGGTCACTGGAGACTGCATGATTATTTTTATTATCCTAAAAAAAAAAAAAGTAGTATAAAGTATAATTAAATTAAACTAATAAAATATGCATGTATATTTTATATGAGCATATTTATAAAAATTTTAATTTTAGGTTAACTGAGCAATCGCGTTTGCGATAAATCAAACAAAAATTTAAAAAAAAAAATTTTTTAACGGATTTAAAAAATATTTTAATTTAAAATAATTCAAGCTCGATATAAAAAAAACTCACTTAAACTATTTTTGGGAAAAAAAAACTCCAGAAAATAATGGTAATTGAAAAGTAACCAGACGAAAAAAAAATGGCGGATTTAAAGCGAACTCTATTGGACGAAAAATGAATTATTTAGATAAAATTCAAATTGGTAACCCGTTTGTGTTTAACCGCTTTGATTGTTACTAATCGCGTTGCAGAATATTAACGGGTTTACTTGTGAATTATGATAAATTTTTCGTGTAAATCGTCGTTTAAAGTTTATTTTTTCATCGTATTCACATCGAAAAGCCATTAAATAAAATCATCACGAACGAAACGAAAAGGTATCGTATTAATTTTACATATTTTAAATAAGTTTTATAATTGTTCGCAATTTACAAAATGGTGCAAAGATTTTAATGGAAGAAAATCACGTGACCAATCGAATTAGATTTTCAAAAAGTAAATTAAATTAAACAAAAGAAAAGAACATTTATAATTTATCGTATTAACATTAACTTGATTTAATTTTAAAATTGATAAATTTAATAAAATTCTCCATGTAAAAAGCTTTCATTATAAATTTCTTAGTATAATTTAACAGATTCAAATATTTTGTAATTTTAAAATACGTTGACGGATTTAACAATTAATTTGTTGATGGTCTACTTAAATTATTAATTGTTTACAAAGGCTAATGTTTAAAACAAAATTGTTTTTCTTCTTATTACAACAAGTTAAAAATATTTAAATTAATGTTGTTTTTTCTAAAATATAAATAGCTCAAAAATTATTTTTAATCAAATTTCAAAAAAAAAAAACAACAAATCATTCTATTAACATGTCTACTTGGGGTTTTTGAATAATAATTTTGTTTTTTTTTTGAAGTCAAATCTTACATTTGACTTTATTTTACTTTATAATATTAGTTTTACAAAGTAATATTAATCAGAATAAAACTTGATTAAGGTTTTTAATTACTCAATAACCAATATTTAAATCATTTATGTGTGTGTGTGTGTGTTCTGTTAAGTTTTTATTTCATTAGGAAATCACATGATTTTCATTTACTGAACAAACCTAATATCTTATTTCAATCAAGAGCCACAAAATTTCATTCATAACCTAACCTTATCCCCTGTTTTGCCCCTTCTCCTTCCCCTCCCCCTCCTCCTCCTCACTGGCACCACAAACTTTTAACACACAATAAATTTTTTTTTTTATTTATTCTCATGAAATTAAATAACTTTAATCATAGCAGCCATGTTTTGTTTTATATTTTGATAAGCAAAACTTTTCTCCTTGATATTTTGCACATTACATTTAAATTATTTGTCACAGACATTATATATATATATATATATATTGTTAAAACAAAATTAATTAAATAATCATTATCATCATCATCATGATGATATTTTTCATTGATTCAATTAAAAATTTTAAAGATTTTACATCTTATTATTATTATTATTATTATTATTATTATTATTTCTCACAAATAATATTTTTTATTAAATGGATTATTATTTGTTAAAAAAGGATTTTAAAAAAAATAATAATAATAATGGATGGGGTTGTTTTTTAATATTTTTTTAACCAATTTTTGTAATTTGACGCCATTTTTATTGTATTTTTTTTTTTTCAGGTTCTTTTCCTCCAGGTGTATATAATAATAATAATAATAATCATCATCATCATGGATTTGCAAACTTTAACAGAAGAATATCAAAATTTAACAAATAATTCAGAGGATGAGAATTTTTACGAATGTTCTCTAGACAAAAAGATAATAACTATTAAAAATTTATTATTTTCGGTAAGTTTTTTATTATTATTAACCATATATCGATCTATCGATTGATTGATTGATTGCATTATTAATTATTCAAGTTCATTGTCACCGTGCACGTATATCACGCGATACCAATTTCCCTTTCGAGGTATATATATATGAAATTTTTTTATAACGATTTTAAATGCGTGAGTGTGTTATTCAACCTATTATTATTATTATTATTATTATTTAATATTGAAAACACAGATTGAATTATTAAAAATAATATATACGTCCGTTTATTTCAATCAATGAAAAAAAAAAAAAAAACTTACAAATTCGTTACAATCGTTGGGTTGACTACTTGATTGTCCCCTGTGAAAAGAATCTGTAATTAGGAGAGAGAGAGAGAGAGAGAGAGATAGATAGATAGAGAGAGAGAGAGAGGGGGAGAGATAGGTTCTTGCAACAACCGCTCCTTAGGCTTATAATTTCAATAGGTAATTAAGTAAAAAAAGAGGAAGATAACTGTCGTTGTCGTTTCCGTGGCATCGTTTTTTTTTTTTTTTTTCAAGGGGGTTAAATCAATGCGAGGGTGTTTATTAAACCATGACCGAAGAAAATTTTAATACCGTGTAAGTTATATTACATACATGCGTATCATACAATGTTAATAAAAAAATGATGTTTATCATGAGATTTGAAGAATTAATGCACAGGATAGTGCGTATTGAATAATAAAATTGATACTGAATGCACGAATGCATATATAATTATGTATGAATAAATAAATCTGTTTGACATGCCAGAGGAAGAACTGTTTTTTTTTTTCGGGTGTGAGGAGAAGGGGGGGTGGAAATCACTCGCAGACGCACACACACGCACACACACCTTATATAATGTATATAAAACATCGCCGCGTTTTTTTTTTTTGAGTCATCATTCTTAGGGTGAATTTATTTCGGATTCTATTTTTGTATACATATTATTTATTTATTTATAAAGTGTTGTGTGTGTATGTGTGTGTGTGTGTGTGTGTGCGTGCGTGTGTGTGATTATATATGCGATGATGGTGTTACCTTTTTTATAGTCAAATCCTCGTGATGGTAATATACAATTAGGTTTATTTTGTTTTTATTGATTTTGATTTTATTGGATGCGTTTGGAGAGCCCGGGGGGAAGAGGAGGAGTAGGGGAGAGGGGAGGGAAGATCGAAAATCAAATTTGTGAAAAAAAATTTTTTTTTTTGTTTTACCACTTTGTATTAATTTTATTTACGTGATATATAATAATAATTATTTTACCTACTGACAATAACATTGAATCTATTCCATCATGGCGTGTATATAAAAGCGTGCGTGTGTGTGCGTGTGTGTTTTGTCTGACGGAATGTACGTTACTATTTACTGCAGAATTGTTATACGTATATATATATATTTGGCTACATAATTAGTTTTTTGTTTTTAACGTAAATTATTATTATTATTATTAATGGATTTTAAGGGGAGAAGGGGGGGAAATAAAACGAGAATATTGTAATGACGTAATAATTTTTTTTTTTTTGCGAAGAGATTGAGTGATAGATAATTTATTAATTCAAAAAAAAAATTGGAATGACGTCATGTTGATTTTAATTAAATTTAATTAACGGTTTTTTTTAAAATCGATTTCATTCTATGGAGATGAACAATTTTTTTTTTATTCTATGGATATATAAAATCGAGTTAAATAATTTCTTCACAATGTTATTTCTTATTTGAAACCGTTTCTTACGACTCAGATGGTAAACTTATGTCAGGTTGAATTTCATTGAGAAATTGTAGTAATTCAAACTTTTTTTTTTTTTTTTTTTTCCCTCTCATTCAGTCTTCTCGATAACTTGCTTTTGATCTTATTTTGTTGTTTTTTTTTTCATCTCTCCTCTTTTTTTTTTTTTTTTTTTTTTTTTGTATTCCATCTTTGGGAAAAGAAAGAAAAAAGAAAAAAAAAAAAATTTTTTTTTTACGTTTGTTGTATATGTGTGAGATAGTGTTTGTTTGTTTGTATCGTTTATGCGTGTAATTTGTTGTCATTTTGTCTTTTTTTTTTTTGATTTAATCACATCGTTGCCGGTACCTGTCGTATTATCGGTTGTTGTTATTTATATCAATATGTTATTATATTTTTATACGACAGACCTAAAAAAAAAAAAAATTTTTTTAAATTTATAATTATTAATAAATTATTCGTTAATAATTTTAATGTGTGATATTATAGTTAATAAATAAAAGGAGGATTTTTTTGGCAATGGGTAAGATAAACATGAAAAAGGAAAATCAAATAATAATAATAATAACTTTTTTTTAATGTCATTTCTTATCGAAATCAATCAGAAATTAAATTTAAATTTTTTTTTAAAAAAAATATTTGCATAAATGTGTAGGATTTGATGTTGATTTAGGATATAAAAAAATAATCTTACATTAAATTTATTTTAAAAAAAATAATTATTTTTTATTTAAAAAATCGATAAATCAATATAATATTATTATTATTATCTTCTCGAGAGTTCTTCACGTATTTATATATATATATATTTTTTTTTTTAGTTGTCTCACCACCCTTCAAGTCCAAATTTAGCTTTCGAAAATCATTAAAATGACATCAAATGTAAAAAGAATGAATGAATGAATGAATGAATGAATGAGATGAGATCTCATGAAAACTTAAAAACCATATAAATAAACTTAAAACAGAACCCTTAAAATATTCCGAATACGATCCTGAACACACCGCATCGCATTATATATAATAATAATAATAATAATAATCCTGTCGCGCTTTCAATTAACCAAAACCTTAAAAAAAAAAAAAAAAAAAAAAAATTTTTTCGTTAGGTTTTGTAATTGTTTTATATATATAAAATTTAACGCCATTTTTGTTTTTTTTTGTTTTTTTGAAAGCTTTTTCGATTTGTATAAAAAATTTAAATGTTTGCATTAGGGATGATATTAAGGAAATGATGTTTGTTAGTCTCCCCAAGTG